TGCCGATTTAGACTACGTGTTGGCTCTTAGCCTACAAAATGAGAATAATCCTCACAGTAATACTGCAGCTGAAATTCCCGGTGACTTCTGGGAAAACTACTATGCCAAAGAGTCTCTGCCATTGGCCCGTCTTAATGAAACAGACAAGTCAAATCTCTTCTCCTGTGACTCTTTGCTGTCTTTTAGCACATCAAACCACGTAAAAAGTAAGTATAAATGCTGTTGTGGTGGGGTTTTTTCCCTTAAAGTTTGAGAGAATGGAGAAGGAAAGAGGATTCTGGGACTGGGAATGTCAAAGATTATTTAGGTATTTTAAAATGTCAAAATGAGTATCTCTGAGACTCCCTCTAAATCATTTTTAGATAATTGATGCACAGGAGATTAGACTCTCCATGACTTCCATTCTTCCTTCCTTTCTTAAATTTTATCTTCCGCTTCCTCAAAACTTGGCAATATTAGTGTTTAAAATAGTTTCTTTCAAAGAGGTATTACTAAAGCAATAGAGCAAGGGAAGAAGAAATAAAAGGTGTAGAGAATCTCTGACCTTGATATGAGGCGAGAGCTTCATAACAACTGAGTAGGTGACAACTTTCTTGTTGAAGTAAACGTGAGAGGGAGGATCTGGGGGAGACCTGAAGTGCCAGCTTATTTGGAAAGGAGAAATGGTGCTAAAGGATTTACTGAAGGCAGTAACAGGTTTTTTTACCAGACTGTTCGATATTATCTTTGACCCCCAAACATTGTTCTCACTCTGGGTGAATTTGCTTATGTGAAATTCAGCAAGTGGAGTTAGAGTAACTGTTTCCTTAGCGTTTGCTCTGGTTGCTGTCCTGTGGCACAAAACAGGAGTCTGTTCCTTAGGAATTCTGAAGATAAGTCCAACTGCAAGATGCAGCTGCATCAGACTTCTCTATGGCAGAGGATATAACCGTTACTTATTTTGCAGATGATGAGATCATCATGTTGCCATGTGAATTTTGTGAGGACCTCTACCCTGCCGAAGACCTGATTCTTCATCAGGTTTAGTACTTTCTTGTATTGTATCTAGGGGTTTGCAGTAAAGACTTTTTTGTGCTACAGTGGCTGAACAGGGCTGCAGTCATCACTCAGTCGTACTGTGACAACTCTAGCAATTTTGTCTTTGCAAAGTGGGTTTTTAAAGTTCATCTGTGCTCAACAGGAGAGCTAATTTTTCCATGTTGCTTGCATAACAGACAGGTTGTAACCCAGCAAGTGCCTTTGCCTCGTTCAGTAAAAGAAGTTCTTCTCCAAATCCACGAGAATACGACGGTCTCTGTGCTCTTGGGTCCAAAAGCTGTAGGTCTCTCTCTTCATCCCAGCCCCAAGCTGCCCAGGCAGAAGGAGACACTATGATTCCGTGTGAATTTTGTGGCGTCCAACTAGAAGAGGAGACGCTCTTTCATCACCAGGTACTAAACAGAACTTGATCTGTTGTATCACATCCAGCTGTCAAGAACTGTGCCAAGTCCTGCAGCCTCTTGTTGTGGCACGCTTCAGGAATCCCAGTAACTGTCCCCTGTATCAGATCTTCCTAAACAAAGCCTCTTGGGTCCCATCTAAAATGGGATGGGAGGCTCTTACTGAACAATAACCATCATTTTTGAAAGCCCTCATAGCAAAAGCTAAACAAAAGGCCCTGAAATTGCACAATATAAATGTTTGACTTACGCATAAAAGTTGTGTTGAAACCAGGATGTATGAATCACGGCTAAGGTGGGAGAGGAGCACAGGCGTATGACCCGTGGGGGTGAGAGGGGAAGTAGACAACGCAGACTACAAATCTAGGAGATGGAGGAATGTCTCGGCGGGGGGATGTGCAGAGAGAGGAAGGGTAAGAGCGTGAAAATATCCAAAGCTCAGCCTAAGAGAGAAGTGGTGGGTTTATGAAATGATGGGTGCTGCAGAGCGCTTACTAGGGCACGCTGGTTCTCCTGTACATCGCTGTCTGGTGCTTCTGACGTGGAAAGAACGCCAGGCCTTGGTACTGCTGAAGCTGTTACTGCTTTTCAAGAATGCTGGACAGATAGCAGCCGGACCGCTGGGTGCTTTAATGCTTCTGTACGCCCAAAGAACAGATCTGGGGAGCGGTGTGCGCGTGGAAGAGACAGTCCTCTGGAATTTGCTGCTGTTACAGACAAGTTCTGCAAATGCTGAACTCGCTCGTTTTCTGTTTCACAGCTGAAGGAATTGGGAAGTTTACAGTTCCTACAGCCCTGACTAGCAAACTAGTGAAGCTGCATTTGTGTGTTTGTTTTTCTAGGCCTTTCCTCTCCTTGGTGATAGTAAATTCAATATTAACAGAAATGAGATCTGATAAAATTCCATAGCTTTTCCTTTGCTAAATAGCAGTGCTTGCCACGAAGGAGAAGTCCCATCCACTTCCTATTATGGTTGCCTGTTGGAAGACTGGTTTTTTTATCTAACTATTTTGGAAATGCAGAATGCAAAGACTGCTTTATCTACAAGCTTCTAATATTTTTGGTGATGTTTGTGTACGATAATCAGGACTTGTAAAGAATTAGTGACGGGAGCTGAGTTGCCACAATAGAGTTTGTTTGCAAACCACGAAAAGGACACCCTGTATTTAAAGTGTTGTGTCCACATAGTATTCCTGGTATCTAACAAAGGTAACAAATGTTTTCCTTTCTAGTTCATGTTTTTGTTTTGTGTCCTATGGGTGTCTGTCTTCTTGTTTTGTTGTTCCTTGATGTAATTAACCTGCAGAAAAACATGACTTTATGACAAGGAGAGCCAACAAGGGCACTTCTGTGGGCGGCATGACTTGGAAATCACTTTTAACTGGATTTCTGTCCTTGGATTTTATGATGGCACCGATACCAGGTTGATATCAGGAGCTTGATCAGAATTACAGTGACAGTGCTTCAGGGCTGCTTTCCCCATGCCTGGGACTGGCTTTGCAGGGTCAGTTTTAGGTGTGAGAGGCAGAGGCTGAATAAGAGAGCGTCTGGTTGGTGGCTGGCTGGCGGTGAGGCCCCAAATACAGGCTGGGTCTGTTTTGCAGGGCCGGGTCCCGCCGCCCGGTTCCCGTTTTTTTTGGGGCCCTGG